GGCGGGGCGGGGCGGGACCCGGGACCCGGGACCCCAACAGGCGCGGGCCGCATGGCACTTCCCTCCACCTGCAACTGTAACACGACTCGTAATACTACGGTCCAAAGAGCATTGCTGAGAGTTTTTAAAGATTTATTCAATCCCTTGACTTTTTCATGAAGGTTTTTATTTTTTTTGGAGGTATGTTAATTTTGTTTACGATATTTTCTGGGAAAAAAATCGGACTTTGATAAAATCCCTACTTCACACTCCTGCTCCTCCCCCACCTCGTGCCCGCGAGTGACCGCGCGTGACCACGGCAGACGAGGTCGCGGGTAAATACCAAAGCAATCGCGCGGCTGTGCTGAACGGCAAGGCGAGCCTGCAGGCGCCTCGCCGGACCGACACGACACCGACACGCAATTGTCGTAATCAGCGTCTATGGCAAAGGTGGGTACTTTTGCATCCAACATTGAAATTAAGGTAAAGTGAAGAAAAAATAAGTAAAAAGGCTTTACATGGATATACGTAAGTTTTTCGGTCACATTGCAAATCATCGCAATTCTGAGAGAACACCGTCTTTCACTAAACTGATTGTTTTGCCCTCTCCCCCCCCCCCACACACAAAATTTAAATTTAAGACTCCAGGTGTGCCAATTTTTGCCCTTACGTTCGTGACTTTTCTCGCCCGTTACTGACGTTCCAATCCAAAGCGATGTGCCCCTTGCTCGCGCGGGCCGCAGGGGCGTAAGGGCGTAGGCGACACTCGGGTCACGTGATCGGCCCCGCCCCATCGGCACTCCTCTTCGGCAGCCCATTGCGGACAGCGAATGAATCAAGTCTCGAGCGCCTCGCCTGCGCGTGGGAGTGAGCGAAAGAGAGAGAGAGAGAGAGAGAGAGAAGAGGACGGAAGAGGAGAGGAGCGAGCACCACACGCCCGCGAGCGTGTAGGAGTGCGAGAGAGGTGTGCACGCCCGTGCCTGTATAGAAAAGGTGTGACCCCCCAGAAAATATGAGCATTAAGCTAGCAAGTGAGTGCTTCGCATCGCTTCATCGACGCCAAATTATAAGAACTTTTGCACCTCTCACTTATGCACTTCCAAGTATAACAATCATTATCATCAATTCTATGGCCACTAAAAAGCAACGCTATCGGCCCGCAATCACACCGCCTTTTATGGGTATACAAACAACGCACGAGACCTTCCGCATTTTTTTTCCACTCCTCTGTGCAAAGACTTATCTATTTCGCCCCCCGACCAATCAGTGAGCGAGCGAGAGGTATCTTCTTTAGCGTGAAGGTGAGATAGATAGAGAGAGAGAGGGAGGGAGGGGGAGGATCAAGACGATAGTGAAAAGAAAGCGCGAGTCGGCATTGCGACGCGGCCGTCCGCCGGACGTCACGTTACTGCCCGGCGTGCCCAGCTCAGCTGACTGCTGCTGCAACTCTTGCAGGCGTTACCTGGCCCCGCCTCGGGCGTCACCAGGGGGACCAGTTGCCGTCATCATGCAAAGAAATTTAATAAAGTGGTCACGTTTCGCGTGTGTGAGAGCGCGCGGCAAAGTCCTCTTGCAGCGAGGCGGTGGTTTCCAGCGACCTGGTGTGCAGCTTTCTGTGCGTTTTACTTTTATTATGTTGGCGACTTTATTTTGTTTTATTCGCGTGACTTTTCCTTGACGCGCGTGCAAAGATTCCAAGCAAGAAGTGTTCTTTTAAAGGAATGAAAAAGGTCACGCGTTACCCCCGCGTTATTTCAAACATGATTCTTATGAGTGTCTGGCGCAGAGCTGACTGACAAGCTGCTAACTAGAAAGTAAGAGGGGCCAACCAACCTCGGGGGCCACCAAAGTTGGCACCCCGCGCCAGTAGCTGCACCAGGCCAAAGCCAAGAGAAGGTTGGCAGAGATGCTTTGGGGCGCCCGCGTGCCGATGAAACAGATCATTTCTATTTATTTA